TCTCTCTCTCTCTCTCTCTCTCTCTCTCTCTCTCGTGCGCGTGCACATGCTGTATCCATAAAGATGGTAACCTATCAAATGCTATTTTAGTACATGTTTGGCATGCCCAAATTTAGTCTTGTTTCATAGTTTGCCATGCATCACTATGTTTTCCCCTTCTCTTCAAGCCTCACTAATTGTAGAGTTCTTGGAAGTCCCCTGACTCTTATAGTCACTTTGGATGCACTGAAGTCAGCCATAGTCAAAAGCACTGGCAGCTCATTCTTGCTCTGTAGAGATAAGCTAAGTCTTTTTTCCCTGGGGGCCAAAGCTCTGAGCATCATGGCCACCACTAACTTTTTCTGCCATAGTATTCCTTCTTGGGGCCCATAATAGCTTATAGAGGCACTGTGCTGAATCCTGTGTTTTTACAGTAATAGCAGAATATCTTTGAGAACAAAAATGCAGGAATTAAATACATAAACCACAGTTTACAATGTGTTATATTAACATTGTTTTAAATGCCCTGAGTTTCTTCCATGGCTTTGTTTTCCATCCAGAAGCTTTAATTCTTTGAATTTGGTTTTCGTAAAAGAAACTAACCAGGAAAAAAAAATCTATTTATTTGCAATATATGTATGTGCATATTAGTTTTTGAGACATGAAAATCATGTGGAATTAATAAAACAATTCTTACTTGTTATACTTTAAATTGTTTTATTCATTATTTCCCCTCATCAAATGGCCTTTGTCTCTATTTAACTCCATTAAAGAGTTCCCTTTATGGTTGAAGATTTACTCAGAACCTTCAGTTTTAGCTCAAAACTGGGTTGTTTTCTTTGTATTACTCACCTAAGCCCCAACTAAGTGGCTCCTGAGTGTGGCTCAGAAACTCTGCTGACAGGCCTTTCTTTCTAGAGAGGTACACAACCTCAGCCTCCAGGTGTCTGCCCACTCATCTGACGCCATTTCTGTCAGTGTCTGCTCCTCAGCCCCAGTTGCTCCCGGATTCTCTGGGAGCCCCCAGTCTCCCGCTGTTTCAGGCACTAACAGTCTCCCTTCCTTCGCCAGCCTTCTAAGCATCCATCCTGTCAGGCATCACAGTCAGGCATCACCCGAACACCTTGGTGAGAACTGTATTTCCAGATTATATCATCAAATCATCACTCCCTCAATTTAAAAAAGTAACATAAGTGTGTGTGTGTTCTTACCATTTATAATCCTCTCTGACTCTAGCTGTACTATATTGTTTTTTAAATTTGTACCCCACACCATTGTGCCACAAGCTGGCCAACCCAGGGAATTTATGTAAACAGAACTTTAGCAATTTAGGGGGGGAAAGGCAAAGACAAAAGTTCAAATGTACCTTTTCTATATAAAATTTCCAAGTTTAAACTTTCTATTTCTGGTATTTCATATACCAAATACAGTTAGATGTAAGTCTCAGAACCATATTAAGATGTTAAGACCTTTCTGAGTTAGTGCTAGCAGTTACCAAAAAAAAAAAAAAAGACAAATGAGAGACCCTTTAAATGTGTACAGTTTGTATCTCTCAGAACACATAACATCATTATCAAAGTTCCTCTTGGCTTAAAACTATAGCATTCACCCTTTCTTTCTTCTGTGTAACCAGCTTTGTGGACAATAGTCACTGGAAATCCCTGTTTTATTTCCTTTGTTGACACTGGCACTGTTTTCATCCTAGCCTAAGTCCCTGTACCAGATGTGGAGCAGCCTCCTCATGTCTCTGGATTATCCAGGCTGAAGTTGTCTTTCTGGGACAGCTATCCATCAGTGCTGTAATGGCACCTATGGGAGCTTTTCAGAGAGACCCTTGGTCTTATCTGACAGTACCCTACACTGTGTTGTCCAAACAGCCCCGAAGAAAACACCAACCAGTGTCTTGCACCAGTACTCTGACATGCTCATCCCTGTTTGGAAAGCAGAATGCATACATACTATCCTGACCTTGGCTTCTGTGCAAATTTATCTAACCTCTTGCTTCATCAGCTCTTTCTACTCTGTTCCTTCCTTCCAGAGCAGAAGCCAGATCTTGTAGGACATCACTATTGAGAGAGTTGCCTATTTTTTTCTTCTTAAATTAATTTTATTACCATAAAAGTGGCAGAAGGTATATAGGCATTCACAATGTCATGTGACCAGACTTTCCTTCTTCTAAGCCTGGGTGTGAATATGTCTTTAAAGAACTCATGGGCTAGACAGATGGCTCAGTTAGTGAAGTGCTTGCCACACACACCTGAGGACCTTAATTTGATCTGCAGCAACCCACAAGAACAGATGTGGTAACTCCTGTCTGTAGGCCCAAGGCTGGGGGAGCAGAGACAGGAGGATCCCTGGGCTCACCGTCTAGCCAGTCTAACCCATTGGTAAGTTCTGGGGTTTCGTAAGAGACCCTGCCCACCTCCCCTAAAAGGTGGTACATAATTAAGGAAGACATCCAGCATCAACCTCTGGCCTCTAAGTGTACACATACACACACACACACACACACACACACATTTACATGCACATACACTCACATAAAGAATTCTTTAACCTCCACTTGCCCAAGGCCAGACATCTTGTCCATCTGCTACTTGGGTAATTGGTAACATATCTCACTTCATGAAGATAGGAACCGTGGTAATTCTTTACAATTCCTGTCAGCCTGGGAACATTAAAGGCTGCCAAAGAGAGAAAGCAGCATAAATTATAGCACCATCTTTGAGAAGCTCACAGTTTTGGAGCATTGTCCCTCAGTTCTGAGATGGAGACAGTAATACCTCTCTCACTAAATTGTTATTAGGATTCACATTTCAAGATAATATATGAAATAACCAACACATTCAACAGCCAGACTCCCTAGTTCACATCCTAGGCCTCTGCCAGTTGTCTTTGAACATTGTGCTTCAGTGGTTCTCATTGAGAAGGTAGAGATGGTGATGATGATGAAGATGATGATGACAGATTTCACAAAGCTTTTGAGAGGATTGAATTTGTTAGTGTAAGTATTGGGTACATAATAAGAATTCAGTAAGACTGAGTTATTATAAAAACAAAATATCATATGAGAGTGCCTAACAGCATAGAAGGATGCTGTTCAAACTGGCTATCCCAATGGGATACAGAAGGTGGGCCACGGCGTAATACAACACTTTTCTTCTTGAAAACTTCTTGTTAGGAAAAAAGTGTGCCTGGTGACAAAACCGATAAACACTCTGGGTCTAGCTCCTTGTCGTCTTTATAGATCAGTAGTTAACAGTTCCAGACCAACTTTTGCTGTCATTTGTTTCTTTGGCCTAGGATACAGTAGGCAATGAGTGAGTAAATATATTTATATAGCCTGGCCTGAGAAACTTATTCAAGATATGTTAATAAGGTAAATAAAATTTGTCTTCATAACAGCTTTTTTCTCATTTGTTAAAATTGGAATAAGCCACAGCTGTTAAAACAATGGCTTTGTTGCTGTTTTTGTTGTTGTTTGGTTGTTTGGTTGTTGTTTGGTTGTTGGTTTGGGTATAAACAACAAAACAGTTTTTAGTAAGTAAAATTTATTTGCATAAATAAGTTTGAAAATGATCTTTATTGCTTAGCAAATAAAACAAAATTTGGTGTTACTGAAGAAAGAACTAATATAAGTAAATATAGTTTTGATTTATTTATAGCCAACAAATTACCATAAAAATAATAATTATATGACTCTAGGTTGTCCAGAGAAATAGAACTGTGTGTGTATGTTTTATATTTATTATATGGCTTATGTCTTTGGCTTATGAACTTACAGGGTACAGTGATGGACACAGAGAAGTCCTATAAGTCATACAAAGCAAGCTGGAGAATCTGGATGGCTGGTGATATACTATTATTGAAAGACCTAGGAACTAGGAAAGCTGTCATTTGAAGCTTTAGTTCAAATCTTGACTCCAAGTTCCAAGGAAGAAGACTGATGCCCCATCCAAAAACAGACAGAGAGCAAATTCTCCCCTACTGCACTTCCCTAGAACGAGCTGAGGCCTCCTACATTCTGTAGGCAATCTGTTCTACTCAGTCTGCCTATCCCAAACCAACTTTCATTTACATTCCTAGAATAAATTTTTAACCTAGTCTGTTATCACTCAAGGAGGATGATACAGAGAAGCAGTAATTACAGTCATAGTACATAACGTAAGCTTGACTTGAAGATGAATTTTAGAAATGCTTTTTTAATTTAAATTTCTTAGTTTGAGAATTGCATACTTGAGTACTATATTTACAACATTTCCCTCCCTCTCCATGCTGCAACTCTTCCCATGTCCCTTCTATTCCTTCTCAAATTCAAGACCTCTTCTTTAATTATTAGTTACCTATATGTATATGTGTAGACACTCAGACTCACACACAAAATTTACTGAATCCATTTAGTGTTGCTTGTATATACAATGCATTTAGGGCTGATGACTTGGAATTTGATAAGCTATCAGGCAGCTCCTCTCCAGAGAAAATTGATTCTCCTTCTCTCAGCAACCTTAGATTGCCTATAGCTCTTCATGTAGGAGTAAGGCCTTGTGAAATTTCCCCTTCCTGCGTTGACATATTCATTAGTGTTGTCATTATGCAGGTCTTATTTAAGCAACTATAGCATTGAGATTCCCTGGGAACAGCCTGTCATGTCTAGAAGACACTGTCTAGCAACACTGGCTCTCTGGCTTACACTTGCCATCTCCTCTTCCATGGTTTTTTCTGAGCCTTAAGTGCAAGGGTTACATTGTAGGTGTAGCAGCTGGGTTTGAACATCCCTTTATGTTTACCAGTTGTAGTGAAGTGATAGTGTCTACTCTTGTAAAAAGAAGCTTCTTTGGAAAGGGGGGAGGGCTGCACTGACTCGTGAGTAGAAGGATGAGCGTTTTGAACGCAGCTAGATTATGGTGGTTTAGGAAAATACCAATAGTAGATTCCCCTAATGTTTCCTATTCTAAATCATCCTAATTTTAGAAATGTTGTAATTCATTCTTGTTTTAAATAAAATTTTCATTTTAATTTCTAGAATAATGTTTTGATGGGAAATTATTGACAACAGTTTCTGCTGAATTACAGTTGAAAACATGAACACTTGGTGTAGTTGTTTGGGAAAATTTTCAGGTGCAGAGGAGTTTTCAGTCTAAAACATAGATTTGGTGGATGGAGAAAATCTCCCGTGTAATGGTACAGAGGAAGGCAGGCTGCCTTGTGCAACTCTATCTCCTAATATTCTCTTCAAAGTGGCCTCACAAGGCCACTGTGCAGTGAAGGTAGTAACCCTTTGTCAATCCAGAGAAAAGAGGTATAATTTGTGCAGCCAGGAGGGTCTGGGAGCACGGAGGAAACTGTTTCAAAATCAAAAGGAGACCATTTGGAAATGCAAAAGAAAATGGAGAAGCTTGGAGTGGATTGGATTCCTTTGCAGAGGGAAAGGCATCCTGTCACCTCTCATGGTACCAGAGCTCCACCTGCTGTACAAGAAAAGCAGAGACAGACCTGTCCGCCAGGAAGGACTTTCCCCGCCCCATGATTACTGTTCAATTTTTTAATCTTTTGGCTCTTTACTCAAAGTCATTGAAGCTGTTCTCATTCTTTGCTTCCACTCATCACTTCCCTTCTCTTCTTCATAATTTCATGTTTGAAACATTTATGTTATCATTTAAAAAGTTGACAATTCAAAAAACATAATTGGAAAGTATATTTACTGGTTTGTTGAGGTGCCTAGAAATGCATATACATAAAGTGCAATTCAGATATATAATATACCTAGATAAAATGTGTATGGCAAACACTGGAGAAGGGAGAAGGGTGTATTTCTGCCAAGTATAACAGCTCTAATTTTAAATACTTGAATTCTCTGACACTAATTTGTGTGCTGCCTTGGGCAAGTTACTTAACTTTCTTCGTGCACTGCAGTTTTGTTAAAAAAAAAAAAAAAAAGAAAAAAAAGAAAAAAAGGCACTGGTTTCTCTCTGCCTCATAGAATTCTTATCAGATGAAAGACTGGGCAATGCCCCAAGTTATCCAGCCATCACACTCCAGGCTCAGCTATCTGTAAGGAAGCTGAGAATCAGGAAACCACTACATACCAAGAGAAGGACCAAGCCACAGTGACCTGATTGTCTGTATACACATGTATACACATATCTGTATACACACACCTGGGTATGTCCTTGTTTCTTTTCTCCATAGTTACACAATTTTGTTTTTAAGGAAAGGTAGAAAAAGGAAAGATAAGGGAAGCAAATATGGGTATACTTGAAAATTCATCACACACATAATTGGAGAAGATGCTGCAGAAGTTCAATAGCATTCTTAGCCTAGAACTGGAGGTACTTAAGTCTAGATTTCAGTTTACCATACTGCTGGGATCCTGATTCAGAGTGCATAGGGGCTTTAGGAAATGTATTCTGAATCATGGTCAGAGTGTTCTTTATAAACATTTATGTGTATATGTTTGTGCATGTGTGTGTATGTCTATGTGTGTATGCCATGTGTGTCCAGGTGTCTGCAGAGGCCAGAAGAGAGCATCAGATCCCTGGATCTGAAGTTAAAGTGGATTGTATTTTACCCATTATGGGTGTAAGGAACCAAACTTGGGTTCTCTGAAAGAGCAACCAGTCCTCTTAATGCCTGAGCTATTTCTCTAGCCCAGAGAGCTCTTTTTACAAACAAGTTTACAATGCATTGATAGGGAAGTGTATCCTGTATACCCTGCCCAACAAGGTGGAACCAGTTATGCCATGGTAACTAGGGTTCTCTTTTACGAGGTTCTTAGTCTCATTAAGAGCACCTAAAATCTAGCCTGGAAAGGACACTTAAGGAAAATTTTACTAGTACCTGAAGGAGAAAATGTGAGCAAGCTGTAAATCTTGGCAGCTGTGGGCAACAGGAAGCTATAGAAGAGGAAGAGATAAAACATGCCATGTGTAAGCACTCACATGGCAGAAGGGTAGAATACTAGGTTCAGAGAAAGAATGCAAAAGACCAGAACATCCAGGAAAGCAAAATCTCTCAGTTTGTATTCTGCTAGGGAGAAAACAGGTTTAAAGAAAATTCATTTTAGGAAAACAAAAGCCACAGTCAGAGTTAAGAAGCAAATACAGAGATAGTGAGGGAGTGCACCCAAATCTCACTTTCAAAGAATGCTAAGGAGGAGGCCATGGAAGGAGAAACATTTGAACTGTGACCCGCAGGTCAGAAAGAGGTCATAGAAGAGCCGACCAGAGCATCTTAGGCAAGTGAGAGCTGCCCCTTCCCCCATGCAGGGCTTGGTTCCCATGTGATGCTAGATGCAGTGACCCTGCTCCAACTGTTTACAGCCTGTAGCAGTCAGGCAGATGTGACACGTTTTGTCCACATATAAAATCCCAGCTGCAGTTCAGCTGGAACTGAAGTTGGGAAGATGTGCAGTGGCCAAAGAGCTCTGCTGTACCTCACATCTCCGTGGCGGAGGCTGGATCGATCCTCTCTGGCAACAGAGCCATTTAAAGGCATTATTTCTGTCTCTTTGGAGTTGTTAATTTCTTCATCAACTATCTCATCCTCCCAAGACCTCTCTGCAGGAGCTGTTCACGGCTGCAGTTCTGTTTTCAAGGCACTGTCAGCACACAGAATGCATCCCTTGTACTCCTGGCTTTAATACATGCTATCATTTAGTGCCATAAGCCCCTCTCAGCCATTTGGGAATTCTTCTTTATACAGATTACTTCAATTTATTGTGATTTTTTTATCCTTTATCCATGGGATTATCTAGTTTTGAAACTGCCTCCTTTGTT